TCGAAAGGCATCACGAAGAACATGCAGCTGCAACGTATTGGCTTGTCGCAGATCTTCAGGAGCCCAGAAAGTGGCCCCAGCTGTCCACTGAAACTGGCTTGCAACAAGGGTTTGCATTAGTGCCAACTTGCGACTCCATGCAGCTTTGCCTCGCAGTATGTCTCGATGGGTTGCAGCTGCCATGCGGGCCCGGGCGAGAAGTTCACGTGCCTGTTGACTCGGGGACTCATAGAAGCTGAATGACATCCCAAGTACCTTGACAGATTCATCCGGATTGGCGATGGCAAAGGAGTTCACCCCAACTTTGACCCGACGTGGCCCTTTGTAGGCAGGGCTAGCAACAATTTTCGTCTTCTCCGTCGCAAGGCAAAGACCACTGCGCTTGAGAAGACGCTCAATGACATTGATCTTCTTTCCAAGCTTGGCCAACTCGCTGTCCAGTAAGAAGATGTCGTCCTGATAGAAAACCAAGGGTACACCCAGACCCGAGATGGAGTCACCAAGATCCTGCCAACCTTTGCAGCGAACCAGGCCACTGAGGATTGAGGATGTCGTCCATCACTAAGCCAAAAATTTCTGCCGACTCGGGAGCTCCCTGCTTGATGCCAATGTTCGGCTCCAACAAAACCTCTTGTCCTCCTGGCACACGTCCATGCAGTTTGAATGTGCGGAGTTGCAACAGGAGGTATCGTAGTTCGCAATGTCCTCGATCGACAGGGAAGTTGGCCTTCAGATAGTCGACGATCTTTAACCTATCGAGTCTGTCAAAGGCACCAGAGATGTCCAGTTTACAAAGGAGAACTGGTTTCTTCCATTCATGAACAACATCCCGTACTCTAGAGATCGTCCCGATAATGTCAGCAGCTTGTCTACCTTTGCCACAGCCAGAGATGTAGGAGCCACGTCGAAGAAGGGGAAGGCATCTTTCACAGACAAGTTTGTTGACAAGTTTGTGAAACGCTGAGCTGACACATATCGGACGTAAGTCCTTCGGCGTCTGCGGTGTCTCAGTCTTCGCGAGCAGAGCAAGGTAATTGTCCTCCCATTCTGTTGGTGTCGAACCTGTTCGCACGATGTTGTTGATGATCTCGAGGAGCTGTGGTCCCAAATTGTCATCTGAAGCAACAGTTCGTAGTAGATGAACACTTATACCATCTGGCCCGACTGCACTGTTGACCTTCATCTGTTGTAGTTGGGTACGCATATCGATGAGCTCGAACGGCACAAAGTCATCCCCTTCGGGGATATTGTCAATATGTTGTTGCAAGAGCTCATCCCAGTCGTTGAGGTGAGGGTTGCTGAGCTTGTCCGTGAGATGGGTTTGGACCTCACGTGTCAGTTGGCCAGAGGAACGACTGTCCAGCATTTTGCCCCACCAGCCACGACGACGATGTTTTTCACGTTGCAGTAGGCGATACTGGGCCCAGTCACCATTGAGAATCCTTGTCATCCTTTGGCTCTGCCAGTGTCTGCGCTCACGTCGCCTTTGTCGGTGGACTTGTTTCCAATCCGAGCTCTCTCGGGAAGTGCGGGCTTCTGCAATGGCGAGTCTAAGTGCACGGGAGTCTCGATAGGCAGTGCTGGTCTGCGGACTGGTGCAAGACTTCGCCAAGATTTTGAGGTCGACGGGGTTGCGAATCATAGCGTCTCTCGGCAGAGGTTTGGACATTTTCCGCGCCCTCGAATCATTGCCCCACTGGGAGGGAGAACGTCCCGACGTAGAGATGTCTGTGGTGAGGGTCGCATGGTCCGTGCCAATGGTATGTCGCATCTCCCCATCAATGAAAACATTCCCACAATCAAGCAGGCGAGTCCAAATGGCATCGATCTGCCGACCCGAGCGACTGTTGTCACGGGGAAAATGGGTGGGAGCCTGCCATTGATCACGGCGAGGGGCAACAGGGCGGAGACCAATACGTTGAGCTTCAACAGACAGAAAGTTCAGGTTGGTGGACGCGTTGCTCAGGAGGGTGCGAGAGTCATATGGATCATGATTCTCCATCCACTTAGGCACTTCATTCATGTCGATGCCACAGGCAAGTGGGTAGTGGCGCCACTTGCTGGGGCAAGAACGAAAGAATTGCAGCACCGCATTTTGATAGTGGGCGTTAGTCACACCCGTGAGCGCATGAAGTGTCCCAACGACGATTCGTCCTAGATCACGTAGACGGAGAAGTGCCCAAATCCCTCTAGTGGTAGCAACCTTGTCAATGACGCAGTCAAACTTGTCATTGGCGACTCCAATAGCAACTCCGCGCCAAAGTTGAGACGATCGATAAGAAATCCTATATAAATTCTCCCCTTCATAAGAGTCCCAGCCTTCTTCTGCACGAGCAATCTCCTGCGCAAAGACAATGTCGGCATCGATCGGTGCTGTATCAAGTTTGGAGAGGGGTTGTCCTCCAAGGTTCCACTGAAGCATGCGACCCCATCGGCATCTTTCACGCTGACGGTGTCTTGGGCGTAATGTCTTAGACAAAAAGTCGCCCCTTGAATTCAAAGTAAAGTCGCCCTCATCAGCTGTGTGACCATCGTCTTGACGATCAGGAGGTGAAGAGGGGGTGAACGGTGCGGGCTTCAGTTGTCACAGCTCAAGCTCGAAAGCAGCTTTCGCTGCTTCCGCAGTACAGCCAACGACGAGCCCGACAGCTTCAACATTAACCCAACCACCCTGCATCAGAACTGTATCGGCCGATTTTGGGCACCGGTGCGTGGAAGACGCAAGCTTATGGATACCACACCAGATGGTTCCTGCCGCCCAATCCATGTCGTAGCTCGCGGGAGAGGTGTGGTTCACGTTGAGGACCTGGCCTTCCTCATCTTTCATGTCTGCGGCCAAAGCACAAACAACCCGGCGAACCATGCTGATGTGCGCGGTTCGTGGCCTAGCTGATTTGGTCTTCATGAAGGCCGCCCACGCTGTCCGATCTTCACCTGCCGCTGCCGTGCTTGGATACACATGCTTGGAGGCAGAGACGGCCTTGATGACCTTCCACATCCTGTCTTTCACCCCAGCATAGTTTCATCCGCTCGTTCCTTGAACTTGATCATGCCAACACTACGACGTGGTCCATAGACAGAGATGGTCTCGACATCAAGGTGTTGTCGCACATCATCCCGTTGCAAGATAGTGAGGGACTCTGCTTCAATCGTCGCCTTGCGCGTATCTTGCAGCCATCCACCAAAGACCAACGTGCGCTTGTCCTCCTCCGAGAGAAAGTTCCCGTCGTTCTGGTCGGTGTTCGCCCCAACTATAGATCCAACTCCACTGCCCACTGGTGGTGGAGGAGGAGAAAGAGGTGGACCACTGGGTCGGGCACGGCGCTGAAGATACTCAGACCAGGGGTCGTTGCTACGACTGACATGGGGATGAACCGGTGGCTCGGGCTTGGTGGAGGAGGCCGCCTCAATCTGGACCTTGAGGTTCTTCACATCTTCGGTGAGGGACTCGAGCTTAGTGGCTGCAATTTCCCCCTTCGTTTTGATCTCCTTAATGTCTCTTTCATTCACCCGGGTGCGACCACTGAGGGAGCCAATTTCACCAGTTTGCTTTTGTTGCACAACTTCGACCTTGGAAACTCGTCCCTCTATGGTGCTCCATGCTTCACGCAGTTCTCGGGCATGCTGGGAAAAAAGTTCCCGCAGTTCTCTGCCAGAGATAGGCTGGTCGTCTCCACGTGAGGGTCGCTTAGAGGGACTGTCAAGGTCGGGGTCGTTCCACGTTGCAGCTGTAGGCACCCCCTGAGGATGAGCATCCTGGTGTCTCCTTTTCCTTTCTTGCTTGACCTCCACAATCTCAGTCTGCTTCTTGGTGTCCAGCATCTCCTCCTCAGCGGATCCTTCTTCTGCAATTTCAGTTGGCGAGGGCACTTCCACAGCCATCTCCACCGCAGCCATGAACGCAAGGGAGGAAGCAATCTTCACGTCACCCTCCACAGGCAAGTCAAACTTTATGCAGAGGTAAGAGCCTGCGACGACCAGATGACCTCGACCCAGCAGAAGTCACCCCAGGTGCGGGTAGACGAAGAGACACTCCGGGAACAGGTAGTCGAGGAAGAGACCAAGTCAAAGACCAAGTACTTAACACAGATCAGCCCCAGGAGGTTCCAAGGCTTAGGACAAGAGCCCAGGCCAGTGAAGTCGCCCCACGGAAACAGGTAGCCGGAGAGGGACACCGTGGCAACCAGCAAAGATGAACCGGAGAATCAGGTAGGAGACCAGAGACAGAATCGTCCCAAAGAGGGTGTCGAGAAGGAGTACGAAGCAATGGCCCAGGCAGTCTAGTTCGAGGGAGCTTGGGGACTAAGAAAAGCCGATTTGAACCACAACAGCTTGAGCCAAAATGGCTACGGATTTAGGGGTTTAGGGTTTAGGGTTTAGAATTTAGGGGTTTAGGGTTTAGGGGTTTAGGGTTTAGGCAAGGTTTGGGGTCTACGGGTTCGGAGCGTAGGATTGAGAGAAGGATGCACTCTTCGCGAAGGTCCTTGTAACATAACTGCGAACGCAATCGAACGCAGAAACTGAAGGAATCTCGCAAACACGGCTGCATTGACAGGGCCTGGATAGTTACTTCTATACTCTGTGCAACCGCAGCTGACTTTTGTGCTGCTGGGTTTCCATTGCTTGGCAAACTTATTTGCCAACCCTAAACCCTAAACCCTAAACCCTAAACCCTAAACACCCCGAAGCCCCCCTGAACCCTGAACACAGTAGACCTGCTAAACTTAAACTCTAAGCGACATAAACCCTAAACCTTGAAGGCCCTACGAACATTACGAACCCTTTGAACCCCAAGATACACCTGACTCATCAGCCTTTTAAGAAGGTCGTTCAAGACTCTCGAAGTATCTAGTGTTATTTTGTACAGATACACGTAGATGGGTGTATATATATATATATAATATATATACAATTTACATTTCCATATATATATATATATATAATATTAAATTATATATATATATACAGATATATATATATATATATATATCAGCCCTTTCCTCGGCCAACTCCAGCTTGGCTAAAAGCTCTTGGCGCTCGCCGCAGGCAACCTTCCGAAGTGCCAGGGGCTGCGTGTATGGAGTTTACTCCTTTAGGAGTTGACTATGGAATCCTTAAGGGAGGGGTATCTAAGGGGGGGTATATAACCGAGTAATCCCCATTTTTTCTTAGTACTTCTTTAGGTTCCCTAAAGCTCCCTAGGACCCTCCCCCTTGAGCCACCCTCCCTTAAGGATCCTATAAGTTTCGGGCTTAGTGGAGTCTCACGACCTTGAACTATCAAACCCTGTTGGCAGCATCCGTATACACTTACCCTAAACCCTACCTATAGTCTCCGTTGTAGTTCCTTTTTTGGTTTAACCAATTATATATTAAGGATGTTATAAGGTATCCCCAAAAAGGAACTACAATGTAGACTACAGGTAAACCCTCGGCCCGAAACCCTGACCCCTGAGCCCCAAACCGCTTCTGAAGGAGCACGCCCCTGCAACTTTAACAATTCGCTGCCCCGAGGAATCAGCTTGGAAGTTCAAGCTTTTCCTGCTGAGGGTTGAATTTAGTTTTGTATTTTAACGGCCTTTTCTGTCGCTTGCGCTTCAAAGCCCATATTACCCAAAGGCTCCATGTACCTTTATAGTAGATACATAGGCCTTAAAGGGGTCCCTATATAGGTACTTTAAGGCCTAAGCATCGACCATACAGGTACATGGAGCCTTAGGTTCAGGGTCAAGGGTTTAATTGAATTGAGGAGAAACTTCAGGAAGTTCGAGTGCGGGACACAGCCTTCCGAGCTTCGGAACTTTGTGGGAGCTAGGATTAGGGGGAC